ATCTCCCAGTTAAGCCAGCTTGGATTCATAGCACTTTGTCTTGAATGTATTCAGAAGAATTTTTTTTTAAACTATCACTGATTCTCAAGCTTCTACGGCATATATGTTGGTGGCTTAGTTTCTAACAGTAGCTATCAAAAGCTTCTATAGATGTCTGTATCTCCATGTTTAGAGTCCAGAACACCATTGTTGGGGTTGTGGGGGGGGGGACTCATAAAATCTGAAGGCTAAATCTGAGTAGAATTTCTGAGAGAACCCTTGGCACCATGTTGGGACAGGTTTGGTACACATTTTGAGGACATAGCCTGGTATATTATAAAGGTTTTTCTGAGAAGAAAATCCTACTAATGTTATAATGCACAAGAGTTACAAGTACAAACGGTGAGCTTTATGAACAAACCTGACTCTTCACTTGCCAATGGCAAAGCTTGTACAAACGTCATGATTACGTTAATTGCATTAGGATGGTATTGGAACTTTCTGCTCAATAGTGGAAGTTCAGTAGGACTCTGGCCATAATCCTTCACCTTCATCACAATTCAGATTGCACAATTCATGCTGTTCAGACTATGGAGACATCCAGTGCGCTGTTCAGTCAGACTTAATTGAATTACTTGCCATTTAAAATGCCTGAGAATATGCTCATCAGGCTTGACTTTTTGCTTGCTCTTCATGGCTAATTACATCCAATGTGGAGAGGTAATCAAACGGGTCCTGAAAATTATAAATGCCTTCTTCAGAAAGAGAGTGGCCCTGCCCTCCTTAAAGGGGTGGAGGCAGGAAGAGATAATTGAACCCTGAAAATCTTTACAGCTATAGACTTGTGGCTGATATCCTCCAGTAAAGTATCAGAACACATGCTGACAAGCCAGAACCATGCATTCTTGCATTAAATGGGTTCTTTGAATTTGTTAAAATCAAGTTCTGGCCTGTTTTAGTACTGAAATGGCTATATTTATACTGTGACGTGTGAGGACAGAAAGAGAGAGATTGCTTATAACACTGTTAATTACAGCCCTGGTCCTTATTATGTTTGTTTCTCTTTACATAACAATTTTCAGTGTGAAAGCACTGCACATGAATCACAGGCATTTTCTATGATGTAGAAAAGCCAAAGAAATGTCAGATAAGATCAGAACCAGCTGACCCACCTTATCCCTATGGAAATGACGAGGAATCATGAACTTGCCAGGACCATAATGCCCCAAGGTCTCTGATCTTATGTGAAAGAAACAAAAGAAAGATAGCTGTTTTTAAGTGAAAATGTAAAACTGACTGGCACAAAAAACTTTGGTCTGGAAATCTGACAGGGTTATCTTGTCTGAGCCGCTATCATGTCTCCAGATTTCATGCATATCCTTAAAAAAAATTTTTAAAAGCTGTTTTAATTGCTCACTGCACATCAGTGGGAGTAACAAAGATTCAGATGTTCCCATTTGGATCTAGACTTGGATTTGAATTTGAATTAAATCAGATCATATCCAAATCAGCCCAGATCTAATTCAGATTAAAGATGGGCATGAATTGCCAAAATGGCAGGTCGTCTTGGTTTGTGGAAGTCCACAAATCACAAATTTACACATTTTCCGAGGTCATTGGTTTGTTCAGATTTTTTGGGGGGGGCTTTCTGGTTGCCATCTAAAACAACAACAACAACCTGGTTGCTTCTCTGCCGCGCCGCCCCTTCCTACTATCCTCATTGTCTCCCTACCTTTTCTTGATTCTGCCTTCTCCTCCACTATGGCTGCCGCTGCCATCTTGAGATCACAGTTCCCACAGACTGTCTGGTCTCTCACATGTCCCTGCCTTTAATCTAGTAGGCAGGGACATGCGCAGATGGCCCTCAACCAGCTGACAGGCCAGCTAACTATAATTAATTAATTAATTAATTAATCAAATTTACTTTAATTTAATTAGCTGGCCTGTCAGCCGGCAAGGGACCATCTGCGCATATCCCCGCCTACCAGCTGAGAGGCAGGAACATGCACCAAGGTCAGCGGTGGGGCTCTCAATATGGTGGTGGCAGTGGAGGAAGTTGAGGTGGCAGCAGGAAAAGGTAGGGAGGCAATGGGGGCAGTGGGAAAGGTGTAGGGGCAGGCTGTGTGGAGGTGATGAATCAGGAGGTTTGTAAGATGTCAAAAATCATTGGTTTGTGGAAGTTCGGGTTCTCCAGTTTGGACGAACCTGAACCGACTCTAATTAATGAATTCGCAATTTTTGACAATTTTCCTTATTTGTTTTTAACTTCGTGCCCATCTCCAATCCAGATTTCTGAATCAGGCCAGCCCTGAGCTGAATGAGGGGGCCTTGGATATTATTTATGTGTCCTACAGTAAAAGTTATCTGAATTATCATAGAGAAGGTAATTGTGCCAGTAGTTTCCTGCCTAACCAATCAATCATGCTAAAAGCTTGAAAACCCTTTTAAATCGACTTTGTTTTAATCCACTTTCTTGAAGGCATTCAGGTTTTGGCCTTATAATAAGTATCTTGATATTTCATGTAATGGCTTAACATGTCTGTGAGCATTTGTGGTCTGTAGTTTTCATGCTTACCGCTAACAAACTGGAAACTGAAATAGACAAAAATGGCAATGGGTTTCATCCCCTTTGTTCATAAGCTCTTTGTTCTCTCCTGCCTATGGGCTGGACTTGCATTAGAAGCCTTAAAGCAAACCTCACCATGAAAGTAATTCCACTGTATTGAAACAAAATATATTGGCAGATAGGTTGCCCAGAATGAACTGGAAGCATATGAAGATCTGAAACTGTATATTCCTGCCATTAAGGGTGTTTACATTACCTTGTAAGAAATGCAGAACATTTTATTTTTGCTTGTTCACATGGGCTTTTTTTTCATTCAAATGTTTTTCATAAGAGGAAATATCCGTGCAGCTTTAACCATTTTTATTAGATTCAGACAGGAAAGAAAGAGAATATGTTTTTTTCTAAAGTATGCTGCATTAATGCATTTCTTTAAATGTGTTTTTAAAATTAAAAAGTAAGTTTATTGCCTGCATTTCGTTGCTCTGCAGTTTCATTTTTAATTTAAATGGCTCAGCTTTAATTTTATTCCTTAAAAATTATGATTAGTTCTTTTCTCCAGTTTAAATCTCTTAGTCTGGAATAAGAAAAAAAATATGTAATTCCTTCATTTGCTAAAATCTTGTTGCTTAAATATAAGAAAATTAGTCACATCCCATTCATTTGTAGTTGGCAGATCCCTGCTGTGATTTTTCAGGAGAACATGCACACATGGGCTTGATGTATGTACGCACCTCCCCAAAAAATCATTTATTTATTTATTTATTGGACTTATATACCGCCCCATAGCGCTACAAGCACTCTCCGGGCGGTTTACAATTTTTAATTATACAGGCTACACATTGCCCCCCCAGCAAGCTGGGTACTCATTTTACCGACCTCGGAAGGATGGAAGGCTGAGTCAACCTTGAGCCGGCTACCTGGGATTTGAACCCCAGGTCGTGAGCACAGTTTTAGCTGCAGTACAGCGTTTTAACCACTGCGCCACGAGGCTCAAAAAATCATGACAGGGGCTTTTTATTTGCTGGTTAAAAATGGTTTGAAAGTTACAAATTTTCTTACAGGATTTCAGCTGCTCCACCAAGACCATTTTGCTCATAAAGTAACAAAGGTGGTTTAATTTCATTCATTAGCAACACATTGTATGAGTACCCCAAAAGACGAAGCACACAGATAGAAAGGTCTGAAGTATTAGCCACAATCTAATCTCCTGTTTTCTGTTTCATGACGTGTCAGACTCTAAATTCCAGAGGCCATGTAACTCAATGAGTGTGATGAACATGATATGGGAGTCTTTGGCAAGGGACCATTGGTTAGTGACAGAGCATACGGTTTGCATGAAGAAGGGAGGACCCCAATTTAATCTCTGTAATTAGGCACCGACTGATAGGATAGATGTCTGCCTGAGAACCCTCTCAGCCTCTGCCAGCCACAGTAAACAGGAATGAGCTATTAATAGCATAGCCTGGTATAGTATAACCCCAATGTGACCGAGATTCCTATAGAGTTCACCAATCACATTCCTTACAACAATTCTCTTTTTTAAATAAATAATTATAATTTTATTATATAACAGACAACAATCAAAGGAATACAAATATGGTGGGGGGAGGAAAAATACACCATACAAAACATACACACAGGGAAGTGTTTACAATAGTACAATAGCTAGTATAATCTTGACTCCATAACAGTGTTACAATACTAAAATCTAGCGGAGCAACAGCAGCAAGAGGAGAGGGAATCCCCAGGGCTCTGGAAAGCCCTGTGTAAACTCCGGGCCAACAGACCCCCCCCAGCAGTGGAAGGGGGGCACGTTCTACAGGAGAGTGGGCTTGCAGCGAAGGAGGGCTGGAAAACTCTGAATTCGGACAGATCTGTCTCTCACAATCTGTCTTTGTGAGAGGTTTCTTTCTCAAAGCATCTGGCCTGGGAGATGCCATGTTTTGGTGAATTAGCTACCTAACTTTGCCAAGGTGGGAAGTGTGAAGAAGATTTTTACTTGACTACATGAACTGTGAGTAACTGGTCTTTTATTTCTCATGAGCAAGTACAGCTCAAGCTGAAGCTGCTGACTTAAGAGCAGAGAAGAAATAAACAAAGCTGCAGAGGAGCAATAAAGAGAACAAAAGACAAAGGAAACAAGAATAAAAAGCGAGCTAAATCGGGGCAATTAAGAGACAAACTCCTTACAACAATTCTAGAACCCAAATGCCTGATGCTTGATTCTCACCTTAAATGTAGCCATCCTCAAAGGGGGGGATCATGATGCACAGGAAATGCATCCCTCAGCAGGGCAGTAGCCAGGGTAGAACAAACAAGGGAACCACCCAAGATAGACTCTTATTCAGACATCCTGTATTGGCAATTTCTGTGCATTGTGTGTGTGGTGGGGTTTTTTTTTTAAAGCATAAAAGTGGCTGTGTTTCACTGTCATGTTTCCTTCTTTGACATACAGGTCTGGTGGCCATCTAGCCAGTGTGCATTCCCCCAGAGAAATGGCATGGCTTTGGAAGTTTGCCAATAAACAGCCATTTTGGATTGGTAAGCAAAAATTATTGCAGGGCACTATTGCATCTAGCTTCAATTTAAAAAAAATAATGAATGATGATAGTAGAGATGTGTAACTATGTTTTCATCCTATGATCACAGTATAAAATTAGCAGTTTGTAATTTGTCCCTGTGGTGGGCAAGTTTGGTAAGCCAGGAGTCCTCATGTGCCCCCAGCACTCAATGTAAGCTACTGGAAGCCAGGAAACGTCCACAAAATAGACAAACACAACAGATGGCAATTTCCAGGTTTGATGTCTCTAATAAAAAAGGCACAGGAACAGAAGAATCTATTTTTGGTTTTTTAAAAATACATTTGGAGGGCATGTCAACCTCTGGGGTGACCTAGAAACTGTAGAAATGCAGTGCGGGGGGGACACAGGGAACCTGTGGGCTCCACATTGCTATCCCTGGTCTATCTTCATATTTGTTTTCTGGAGGAATATGTTGGTATGTACAGTGGTGCCTCACAAGACAAATGCCTCGCGGGATGAAAAACCCGCAAGATGATTGTTTTTTCGATTGCTATGGTGCCTCACAAGATGGCTTCGTCTATGGCCGTGCTTCGCAAGATGGGTTTTTCCCCCGACACCAATGCCTCGCAAGACGAAAAAATGTCAATTCAGTGCATTCAATGCATTCCTATGGGAAACTGCTTTTCGCAAGACGATTTTTTCGCAAGACAGCGCCTCTCGTGAAATGAATTAAATTTGTCGTGGGAGGCACCACTGTATTTGGTTCAGTGACTGCTTCCCTGTAGCTTTGTCTGCAATAATTGTGTTCAGAATTGTTTCAGAAACAATCTAAAAGGACTGCCCACCTCTAAATCTGTTACTTAACAGGAGTTTTTTTTTCTATGTTGGCAGTATCCAGATACTTTCAGCATGAGTCTTATCTATGTTTAAGAATTTAAAATCATGATATTATCTGGAATTATCTCCAAATGTATGCAGTGAAGATTTCCTCACAGATTCAGTCTCAATAACTATAATGCAAAACTAGTTTCTCCTTTTGGTAATCAAATAGACATTATAGTGAATCTAACAAATGTTCTTCATAACCCAATGATTTGTGTGGCAATGGGTTCCCACTGATTTAGCCATTGGCTGAAGTCTTGTTGTGCAGTTACGCAAATGACGTGACTTTGCAAAGCAAATTACTATAAATTAAGAAGTCTTCACAGACATTATTCATTGCGTAGCTACAGACATATCTCAACCTAATGAAATTAACCTCTAAAAGTTATAACATTTGTGTAATTGTGCAACAGGATTTCAGCCAGAGTCTATGACAGACCTGTTATTCAATACAGTGGTGCCCAGCTTGACAACGATAATCCGTTCCGTTAAAATCGCTGTTAAGCGATATCGTCGTCAAGCAAAAGAAAAAAAACCATTGAAATGCATTGAAAACCAGTTCAATGCATTCCAATGGGTGAAATACCTCATCGTCCAGCGAAGATCCTCCATAGGGGAAGCCATTTTCAGTCGCTGTCTTCTGGATATCGGTCCAGAAAACAGTGGGCAGCCATTTTGAAATCCAACGATCAGCTGTTTCTAATCGTCGTAATGCGAAGAATCAGTTCCCGAAGCAGGGAACCGATCATCATAAAATGGATTTTCTCCATTCAGTCATCGTTTTGTGATCACAATGGCGATCGCAAAAACCTCATTGTGAAGCGATTTCGTTGTGGAGCGGGGTAATCGTTAAGCGGGGCACCACTGTATTCTTATAGTTGAAAGAGCTAACTATTAAACCATATGTGTTCAGGGAGTGCTATGTTAATGAGCTATGTCAGATTTCTATTATAGGTGAGCATGCATTTGCTGTAAGCAAAGTGGGAGTGTTCAACTGCTTTTTCCTGTTGAAAAAATTATGTTGAAATCAGGTGGTCTGTCTAAAGAGTACTTAAAAAACACAGGGACATTGTTACAATTCCTGTTACCTATCACTCTGTAGCTTTACTATACACTAGGTACAGAATATCACAAGTGCAATGTTTCCAATTTCAGGATTAAAAGAAGGTAAAATGGGCAGCTGGATGTGGACAAATGGCCGACCAGTGACCTTCCATAACTTCAAAGAAGGAAAAGCAAAGCCACAAAAGGCCAATGAAGAAAAATGTGTTTTTGTGAAAAAGCAGAAGGAATGGATTCTGAGACGGTGTAGACAGAGGCTGAAAGCAAGATATATTTGTTCTGTTCCATCATTAGCTAATACTTTCCTAAAACCACAAAAATGATTTAATCAGAATGTGAAATTGGTAAGGGAATTGCTTGAGATTGTTCCTTTGAGAAATAAAAGTTACCACAAATTCTAGAAGTGCTTCTAACAAAGTAACACAAGAGATTCAGAAGTGTGCAGATTTGTGTTTTGGTTGTAACTCCCAGAATTCCCAAGGGCTTCAGAACCATCTGGAGGAATTCTGGGAGTCAGCATCCAAAGATGTGAATCTGCACAACTCGGTTAATGGTGGAACTACGTAATTCACAAATAATGATGGAGAAATGTTACTATCTTCAGTATATTTTCCAAGAAACTGCTGGAGAACTCTGCCTGGCTCTTCTCTTAACAGATTCTACAGATTTAAAGTTCCATGTATTAAAAAAGAGCAGAGATCACTAATCAGAACCTTCATGGAGAAGAGCAACATAATACTGGTGCTGATGGCTAAAAAATTCTAGAAGCTGTGCTCCAAAACAGTAATTTTTCTAACCATTTGTGTATAGGGAATGGGCATTAGGCCAGCTCCTGAATTAATTCAATGTAGCATGTGTAGATTTTGTTAAAAAGGAAGAGAAATATGCAGAGCTTGTTTTTTTTTTTAATTACCTGGGGAGGACCTTCTGCACTATTTAACTTCCTTGGGCAAACTCTTCAAAGTCTGCAAATCTCCTTTGGCTTGAACTTTAAAGCACTTGTTTATTAGCAATGCCTCTTTGTATTAATGTAGTAATCAGGAGTGGAATAGAGTAAGTATTACATTCATAAAGAATTACACTAGAATTTTGGACAGGTTTTCTAAAACCTTTCTAGGGCTCTTATAAAAACTCATAACCAAGGATGTGAGTTTTGCTTCCAAAAATCTGTTCAATAAAATTTTTATTCCGTTTTTGCAACATTAGGGAATGTTCAGTGAATGTAGGCTTCATCACTGAAGGGTCCCTTAAAGTTAATGGAGCCATCCTTCTTCACACGGGAAATCTAAAGATCATTGGGGTTTGGCCGCAGTTTGTTTCCCTTGCAAGCCTGAGTGCCAGAAATATTTCAAGAGAATGAATGATGACACAGAGAGAAGTCACGAAAAGCCAGATTAGACATGGCATCTGTCACATGGTTCATGGGTAGCTAATTTTTATAGAAAAAAATATCTGGGCTCATGAATCTGTCATGGGCCCAGATAAAGGGTTAGCTTGAGCTTGTCAGCTTAGTGTGGAAGAAAAGTGCCATTTAAGTCATATGTGTCTTTGAATTTTACATTCTCCAACATTGTTATCCATGTCGACATCACGCAGCAGCAATCTGAATTAATAGTGACATTTTAATTCTTTTTCTACAATAATTAATTGTTGGACAAGAATTGTTATTGTATGAAAAACAGGTCATGTTTTTGTATCAGTTTTTGTTTATACAGTATGCATATGTAACAAGCACACTCAAAGGGACAGAAGCCTTCCCTCACATCCCTGAAGAGGCTTCCAACAAATGTGCCAAAGATGCTCAGCCTTTGTGGACTTTATAGATATTTCCAATAAAGTATCTCGCAGGAGACTAGCTACTGGTGCTGCCACTTCTTTTAGTAAAACAAACAGGGCCATATGTACTGTAGGCTGTCATCAGAAAGCAGCCTCTCTCCTTACATTATTTATTTTTCTTTGTCATTGGACGTTGTCATTAAACACACACTAATATATTCTGATTAGATCAAAACATTGAAGGAGCTCTGAATTTTAATCCTAAACCAATTATCAGAACTTGGCAACGAACTATCAGAGTGCATAAAATAAAACGCCGGGACAACACAGGGGTCTCAGGCAAGAGCTCAAAGTTCAGCCGGTGCCTTGTGATGCTTATTGAAGCCCCAGACCTGGCAATTTTAAACAATAAGCACAAAATTTCCAGATGAAATATGAATGAAGATGAGAGTTCAGGTGCAATGTTTGTTTCCACTGCTTGAAGAGTCAGACTTGCAGTTTTCAACTTGGTTCTTGGAATGCTCTGGCCTTGTTGCTTTTATTTCACTGGTTTGAACCACTGGGCTGCTTCTTGACTCCACACCTAGTTGATCTCTCCTCTGATACGATTCTTTGTTCTTCAAACCAGCCTGTACTGCCCTTTTCTTTCAACTGCCTTTACCCGAACTGCCAAATCTCTACAGTTAGTACTACCATGAGCAGTTGGAAATCTGTTATGAACACTAGGAGCCACTGTTGGGTACCTTATGCCTAATCCCTAAAGATATACTTGCCTTATCAAATTAAAGAGTACATAGTAAGCCAGGTGTTGTTGGATCTCAGTTCCCAGAAGCCCCAACCAGGATGGCCAATGGTCAGGAATTCTGGGAGTTGCAGTCCAACAACGTTTGGGAGCTATTGCAGTCGGCAAAACTGCCCTGCGTCCCTACAGCTTGATCCGAAGGCCTGGATTTTGTAACCAAGGAGAACTATGTTTGTGGCAGATCTCTTGTTCATCTGTGAGGAGTCACCTAGATTAAGCGAACCATTCATGGCATTTCCTACCCATTTTAGTGCTTTTGATGATATTAAACATACAGTTGGAAATATAAACATGGTTTAAGTTACATATAGTATCACCACAGTAACTTGAACTAAAATTAATATATGAGTAAGGAATCGTGTATCTATAGACCTGTAGAACAAGTTTATAAAATAATGAACATTGAAGATTATAATGAATTCCTACTTAATGTTATCCGATGCATTGCAGATTTTAAATGCACCTTGACAGCTATGGGATGTGAATATAATTAGCACAGTTAAAATGAAGGCTTTATCTGTTTCTTCCAGTTTTTCCTCCCAGCATGTTATATACCATGTCAATAGCCAGATGTGGCATCAATTTTAAATTTATCAGCAGATGTGCTGTTAGCTATCTTCCAAGGTAATAAAATTTACAAAATTAACTTCCTTTAATGGAAGTTTATAAAGAAGAAAAGTTTTCTCTCTTTTTGTTCCTTCTTGGAGAAGAAAATCATAAGTAAATACAGTGGTGCCCCGCTTGACAATTACCTCATTATATGACAAAATTGCTTGACAACGATGTTTTTGCAACCAATTTCAGTCATCTTTGCCATCTAAATTCATGGTTTCATTAATTCCTTATTTCTCAGGCTAACTACATAACTCCTTTATTGTTATTTTTTCTCATTATATTTTCCGGCTAAACCTGAGAGTCCTAGAAGGTCTGAAGTTCAGATACTATTTTGGTAGTCTGCTAAAAACATTTTGGCTTACCAAAAAAATTCCTACGTAGTCTTCTTCCCAGCATAATTAGGAACATGAACAACAGGAGTAGCACTGTCCTCTGAAGGAGTAGCGCTGTCCTCTGAAGATGCCAGCCACAGAGATTAGTGAAACATTAGGAAGAACAACCTTCAGAACATGGCCAGAGAGCCCGAAAAACCCACAACAACCATTAGATCTCGGCCATGAAAGCCTTTGCAAATACTATGACTGAAATTCATATGCAATGTGTTTACAGTGGTGCCTCGCTAGACAGTTACCCCGCACGACAGTTTTTTCGCTAGAAATTGACTTTTTGCGATGGCTATAGCGATTCGCAAAACAGTGATTCCTATGGGGGAATTTCGCTGGACAATGTTTGGTCCCTGCTTCGCAAACCGATTTTCTCTAGACAACGATTTTGACAGCTCCCTCCGCGCTCACAAAACGGGTGTTTTTGGGACCTAAGCTTCACAAGACAGCGAGTTAAACAGCTGATCCGTGGTTCACAAAGCAGCTTTCCTATGGCCGATCTAGACAACGACGATTCTTCCTCATTGGAATGTATTAAACAGGTTTCAATGCATTCCGGTAGGTAAATGCTTTTCGCTAGACAATGATTTAGCTAAATAGCGTTTTCAGTGGAACGGATTATCATCGTCTAGCGAAGCACCACTGTATTTATTTAAAATCTTTTACCCCATCTTTCGCCTTTAAAAGGACCCAAGGCAACTTTGCATCATTAAAAAGACAATATTTAAAAGTGAAATACAGTATGAATACAAATATTTAAAAGAATTAAACAAATATTATATTAAAAATGAGACATAAAATCAATACTAAAACTACACTTTTAAAAACAACAAGGCACAACAATCCCTTTTAAAGATCAAGTGATTAAGGGAAAGGCTGTGTGAACAGAAAAGTCTTTGTCTGCTTGTGGAAGACCAGCAAAGATGTGCCCAGCCTAGTGTCCCATAGGAATAAAGTCTAGAGTCTGGGAACAGTGACAGGGAAGGTCCTGTCCCCATGTCCCTGCCGAACAGACCTGTGAGTATTGTGGAACTGTGAGAAAGGCCTTCCCTGATGATTTTAATATTGAGGCAAGCTTACAAAAGTAGATGTGATCTACTTTTTGTTTGAGATAGATTGGACCCAAGCCATTTAAGAGCTTTGTAGGATACAACCAGCACTTTGAATTGCATCTGGAAAGGGATCAGCAGTCACTCTCTGTGTGTGCGTTATGTGACCCTATAACCACCCCCGGTCAACAATCTATCTGCAGTGTTTTGGACCCACTGAAGTTCCGAACTTTTCCGAAGGCAGCCCCACATAGAATATGTTACAGTTATACAGACAGGATGTAACTAAGGCATTTTAACCTTGGCCACATCACACCTCTCCAGGAGCAGGTGTAGTTGTGCACGAGTTTTAACTGTGCTAAGGCATTCTTGGCCACTGCAAAAAAACTGGACATCTAGGCTCAGATACAAGCCAGGAGTACATCCAAGCTGCACACCTGTGTTTTCCGATGGAATTTCACCCCCTCCAGCACAGGCAGAATCCCTATTCCTTGATCTGCCTTTTGGCTAACTAGGAGCACCTCTGTCTTACCTGGCTTAAGTTTCAGTTTATTCACCATCATCCAATCCATTACTGATAACAAGCACTGGTCAAGAGCCAAAACAGCCTCCTTGAATTTAGGTGACAAGGAGACATAGAGGTGGGTGTCATCCGCATACTAGTGACACCAGACCTCAGAACTCCAGAAACGTCGCCTAGTGGTTTCATGTAGATGTTAATTACATAGGGGACAAAACAGAACCCTGAGCCAAGATGTTGAAAAGGAGTCCCCAAAGGCCACCTGAATCCCCTTTTCAGAAAGGACCGGCACCACTATAAAACGGTACGTCCAAGTCCCATCCCAGAGAGACAGCCCAGAAGGATACCATGAACCAATGGTATCAAAGCCACTGAGAGGTCCAGCAGAACCAACAGGGACATATGCACCTTGTCCAGTTCCTGGTGTAGGTTGCCCACCAAGGCAACCAAAGCAGTATCCATCTCATTACCAGGCCTGAAGCCAGAGTGAAATGGATCTAGATAATGTTTCATCCAAGCCCCCTTGGAGCTGAGCACCTTGCTCAAGAATGGAACATTAGGGACTGACCAGCAATTATCTGATATTCTGGGATAAAGGGGGGGCTTTTTCAACAATGGTCTTACCATTGCCTCCTTTAAGGATGGAAGGATCCTAGCCTACTTCAAGGAGGCATTCACTCCTCCTCATTCATACCCCCTTCAACAGTTGCTGTCTGGCAGCTTTTATAAGCCAAGAAGGACTAGGGTCCAACAGATATGTGCGCAAAATTGCAATTATCTGATATTCTGAGATAAAAGGGGGGCTTTTTCAACAATGGTCTTACCATTGCCTCCTTTAAGGATGGAAGGATCCTAGCCTACTTCAAGGAGGCATTCACTCCTCCTCATTCATACCCCCTTCAACAGTTGCTGTCTGGCAGCTTTTATAAGCCAAGAAGGACTAGGGTCCAACAGATATGTGCGCAAAATTGTGTTTCTGATCTGAACAAGACGATTGTTTGACCTTTGAGCTTCGCGATCAGATATATTTTCTTGGGCATTTGATAAGGCTCACGATTTCTTCAAATACACAGAAAACTGACAGAATCAAAAAAAATGAAGCAGATGGTCATGTCACTGGTGTGCTGTAAAGCTGATATTGAACTGGCCCTGTCTTGATCATGTGGATTAACCTTCCACGTCAATCTTCTGTCAAAATTTGGATGACATGTTTTGATCAAATGAGTGGTATATGTGGTTTAGAAGGGAGCACCTACCCTCATCCACACTGTTTTTGTTTCACATGGTGGAGTCTTCCTTTCATATGAATGGGGAGTTGCTTTTCAATATTCCTGGTGCAATTTCTGAGAGCAGGAACACAGAATTGGAGTTAATCATACTTAGCAAAGGCCGAAAATAACAGGGCTTAATTATTCGTGACTAATTTAAATCTCATGGGGAAGGACTGAGCAGCACCGGATCCTTCTCATGAGATGTCTGCTGACAGGACAATGGAATCCAGTGGAAGTGGGAAGAGAGGCTCTGCCAATCCCACTGCAGCCTTAACGTGGTCCATCTGCCACTGAAAGGTTCCACAGCTTGGTGATTATCCTCCTCACCACCACTGCCACAGCTGCAAGGCCAGCCTGAAGGGAGAAGCAGGGAATATTGGACATAGGATGTGGATTTCAATGGGTCCTTTGAGAGAAAAAAAACTAAATGTGGATCCAATTTGTAGCATTTTAAATTACATATATCTCAACAATCAAAGGGATTTTTGTCCCTCATGCATTCTTTAAACCTGAAAATCTGCTGCCAAACTGCCAAGGAAAACTTCCAGACTTATGGATCTTCAAGATGTAACTCATAATTTGTCCTGATAGATGGTCTGATAAACCTACAAAATAAATAAT